GCCCCCGAGCGATCTGACTCCCTCGGCAATCCCTACTAGATGCTTTAATTTTTAAGTTTTATTTATTTATCTATTTATTAAGCTTCTTTTTTTTTTTCGAGACAGGGTTTCTCCGTAGCTTTTGGTTCCTGTCCTGGAACTAGCTCTTGTAGACCAGGCTGGCCTCAAACTCACAGAGATCTGCCTGCCTCTGCCTGGGATTAAAGGCGTGCGCCACCACCGCCTGGCCTAAGTTATATTTATTAATACTGTGTGCATGATGGTTGGGTGTGTGCGCAGAGGTCACAGGAGAATGTTGTGGAGTTGGTGTTCTTCTCCCGCTTCTGTGTAGCTACAGGTACCAAACTCAGGTTGTCAAGCCTGCGTGGCAACACCTTTACCCACGGGACCATCTCAGCAACCTCCGTACTTTCTGTTTTGTGTGTATGTTTATGGATATTTGGTGTGCGTGTGTGCTCATGTGTTTGTACCATGTACACATGTACACGTAAAGGCCTGAGGGCAGCATCCGGTGCCTTTCTCAGTCGCTCTTTACTCCCCCCTCCCTGAGAGAGGGTTCCTCTGTGTAGCCCTGACTGTCTGTCTTGGAACTCACTCCACAGACCAGGCTGGCCTTGAACTCACAGAGACCCTGCCTCCTGCATGCTGGGATTAAAGGCGTGTGCCACCGCTCTTAGCTCTCCACTTCTAGTTTGAAGAAGTTGAAATCATTTTGGTCTACGTGTGTAGGTGCACCACTTGTGTATCTAGAGCCCATGAACACCAGGAGAGGGTGTTGGGTCCGATGGAACTGGAGTTACAGGCAGCTGTAACCCATCAGACTTGAACCTAGGTCCTATGGAAGAGCAGCCAGTGCTCTTAACTTCTTCCAGCCCTGTCCATTCACTTTTGAGATAGGGTCTTTCTGGCCCCTGGAGATGACCAGTGCAGTTTGAGTGCCTCCTGAGAGCCCTGGGCTCCGCCCGTCTGCTTCCCCAGCACACCTGGCTTTTTACATTGGTGCTAAGATCTGAACTCAGGTCCCCATGACAGAACCACCTTCCCAGACCCGAGATTTTCTTTTCATACTTGGTGGTGCGAGAGAGGAGCTCCCCACACAGGCTAGGCTAGCCCTCCCTCGCTGGCTTCCATCTCGGGCACTAAGACACACTGTCAATCATCCATTGTCATCTTTACAGTGTGACAGTGTAGAAAACAAAACGGCCCATTTCACAGGTGAGCAAACTGTGCGGCGTGGTGGTGCGTCTCTTTTAGTTAACATGCCAAGCCCCTTGGCTTCTTCAGCCAGTCGGTAGCCCAGGTTGGCCCAGAGCTCTCACACCTTGGTGTTGGAGTTAGAGGTTGCGGCACCATTTTCAGCAGCCTCCCCCCCCCTCTCTCGTGTGTATGTCTGTGGTATATGCACACACGTGTGGAGTGTATACATCAGTGTGCATGTGTACACAGAGACCAGAGGACACGACTTATCCCTGCTCTATCACTCACTTATTCTGGAGACAGGGTCTCTCACTGAACCTGGAGCTAGGGTGCCAGTCAGCAAGCCCCACCATCCTCCTGTTTCTGCCCCCTGCCATCCTGGGATTACATTAGACTTTTTCCATGGGTGGTAGGGACTCCAAAGTCAGGTTTCCCTGCTGAGCCATCTCTCCAGCCCTCACATTTCCCATTTAAAAATATTTATTTTTAATTGCATGTATGCATGTGTGTCTCTGTGGGAATGTGTGATTGTGAGTGCAGGGTACAGGAGTGATGAATCCCCTGTTTCAGGGTCCTCTTCAAGGTTCCGAACCTCTGGGTCATCTCCTTCCTTTCTATCTATCTATCTTTGTAATCCAGAACGGCCCTGAGCTCCTGATCCCCCTGCTCCTACCTCCCCAGTGCCCGCTGCAGCAGCACTGTGAAGGTGGGAAGCCTCAAACCCAAGTCTTCCTGGATGCTAGGCAAGCCCTCCCAGCCGCATCTCCAGCCCCTTGACTGCTTTTATAATGGTGTTTGACTAGTCAGACTCTGAGATATTAGGGTCTCACTTCCACCTTGTGTTTATTATTCAGGGTTGTGGGGTTTTGCACGCTGACCAGCGAGGTCTCTGGCTCCTAAGGCAAGGGGCGTGTCCTCTTTCCTCCGCAGTTGTTCGCAGCTTCTCTCTTCCCACGGGTCAGATGCATAAATGCACCGCAGATCTCTCGTGGCCCATTGTCGCCATGTCACCCCTGTGCCCGCTGTTGCTGGCTCTGGCCCTGGTGGCCATCCCAGGTGCCCGCGGTGCTTGCCCGGCGCCCGCAAGCCTGAAGCTGGACGATGGGACGCGCACGTGCGCCAAGATCTATGACAAGAGTGATGCCTACTATGACAATTGCTGCCAGGGGGCAGAGCTGTCCCTGGAGCCGGGAACCGACCTGCCCTATCTGCCCTCGGACTGGACCAACAGGGCATCATCTCTGGTGGTGGGCCAGCGCTGCGAGCTCACTGTGTGGTCTCAGCCTGGCAAGCAGGGCAAGTCGCGCAAGTTCTCTGCCGGCAGCTACCCCCGCCTGGAAGAGTACCGCAGAGGCCTCTTCGGAGACTGGTCCAACGCCATCTCTGGCCTCTACTGCAAGTGAGTCCTGGGACCTTACCACTCCGAACCCCCTACCCAGCCCCACCACCCAAGGCTCACCCAGAATCCAGAGACACCCCGCCCCTGCTCCCTCCAGACTAATATTAAGAAAAGTAGATTTCGCCGGGCGGTGGTGGCGCACGCCTTTAATCCCAGCACTCGGGAGGCAGAGGCAAGCGGATCTCTGTGAGTTCGAGGCCAGCCTGGTCTACAAGAGCTAGTGCCAGGACAGGCTCCAAAGCCACAGAGAAACCCTGTCTCGAAAAAGACAAAAAGATAGATTTCCTCTAGAAATTGTTCCAGGAGGCCCTATCTCCGGGTGTACCCCTAGACTGGTGGGCCTCTTATCTTCCATCTATGGCCCTCGGCACCTAAGTCTCTCAGACAAACTCAGCTCCCCAGACTAGGAAGCTGCACCCCACTCCACTTGGGCTTGGTAGTGCACTCTATTCTGCGCCTGCTTGAGATTTCCTGACTTGAGAATAAGGAGTTTATTGGTTTCTTCCGGGTTCTAGATTCGAACTCACCTCCCCTCATTGCATTTGAAAGTCCCCCCTAGACCCAACTCAGAATCTTCAGAATCCTCTCAGACCTCAAGACTCAATCTAGCCTAAACGTCCACCCCTGAGCCCTCCTCTCTGTCTAGATCAGCCTCAAACCCAGAAACCATTTCCAGACCTCCAACACCCAATCTTGGGGATCCCCAAGTCCAGCAATCATCCCCAAATCCCATAAACCTCAGATATCCTCTATCTTACTGTAGAACCATTCCAAAGTAGCCCTGCCGAACCCCTCAAAACACTCACCAGCCCAGCCCCAAGCCCTCCCAGGCCAGGCCCCCAAGCTCCTGAGCAACAAGCCTTGAAGCCCCTCCCCTTCCACAGTGGGGCAGCTCTGTTTCTGTTTCATGTTTCCTGTTTCTGTTACAGGTGCTCTTGATGCCTCAAGGGCCTGTGATCTCTAATTTCCAGAGTGCTGAGTCGGCCCTGCCTGACATTGGGGATTGCTGTGGCCACAAAAGCCAGAAGACCAGATGGCTCTGCTGCCTGCCATCACAGCTGCCCTGTAATACAGTCCTTGAGAAGTTACCCCTGTGCCATTGCTTGTGTTTGAGACCCAAATCCACCCAGGCCTGGGTGAATAGGGGAGAACAGAATGATCAGGTCTGGGTCAGCCTTGGGACCACAGCCTTAGATTCAGACTTGGGGTTAGGGTTGAACAAAGACACCCAAGTGGCAAGGGAGGGCAATGCTGTCTACTGTCTATATTTAAGCACTATTTACTTCAGGTAAATATCCCTCAACCTCCCTGGGAGTTTACAGACCCTCACCATTCAGGGGTCATTCTAGGACTTTATCCCAGGCTAGAGCCATGGTGTGTTAGGTGATGTGGTGGTCTTTGATTTCTGTCGCTGTTGTTATTGTCGTTTTGTCTGTATTTATTTAGATGTTGGGGATGGAACCCAAGGCTTTGCACATGGTAGCACTGAGCCACGCCCCAGCCCCTCACTGGGGGATTCTAGGCAGGGTCTCTACCACTGACCCACGCCCCAGCCCCTCACTGGGCGATTCTAGGCAGGGGCTCTACCACTGAGCCACGCCCCTAGTCCTCTCTTTACTTTTAATTTATGACAGGATCTCACTAAATTGCCCAGACTATCTTTTAACTCCTTAGTTGCTGAGATTACAGGCTTGACTCTGGGTTGTTAATTACAGTTAACGTTCCTCGTCTGTCTGACACATGGGAGACACTTCAGTTCAAATTTTGTTTCTGTTCAGGTTGTGATCTCTGCTTCACCTTGGCCCCGTGCATGAAGGCTCTTAATGTCTGTCTGGTTTGGGTGGCTTTGGGGCTTCTGGGTACACAGTATCCTGGGCAGAGATACATGGGAACAACTCTGCCAGAATGAAATCTAGGGGGATCTGGAGACAGGTCTTAGATTTGGGGAGAGTCTAAGAGTTAAGAGATGGGGGAGAATTGGTAAGTGAGAATCCTTCAGGAGCACACCCCGCGGGATAGAAAAGAGATGGGCTGTCGGGCTATGAGATGGATCAACGGGTAAAGGGTTTGTTACCAATCCTGGTGAACTGAGTTCAATCCCCAAGACTCATAAGGGGGAAAGAAAATAGAGGTCATGTTAGGCCCCTGTACTGTAGACCTTTAGCCTCAGCTACTCAAGAGACTGAGGCAGAGGACTGAAAATAGAAACCAGTTTGAGCCACTTAGCTAGACCCTGTCTCAGAACCTCAATGCGTAAAAAGAGCTCTAGGGATGCATTTTAGTGGTAGAGAACCCATCCAGAATACACCAGAGAACCTGAGGTCGATTCTAAGCGCCACAGAAGAGGTCAGAGTTCACTGTCAAAGTTCCAGAGGTCAGAGAAGTGCCCAGAGGTCAAGGGCCTGTTGAGCGGGTGAGCCGTGGACCGGGGGAGGCTCTAAGGAGTGAAGACAGGCAGGTACCCAGGCTCTCTGAGCACGTGTGTTCTTAGAGCCACTCAGGGGAGGTTTATTGAAAGCCTGCCAGGAGAACGGCAGTGGGTTTGCAAGGAGCAACCCCAGCTCAGCGGGACATTCAGGGGATGTGGAGACATCAAAGATCCTGGGGTCAAGCAAGATCTGAGAGACCTTGCTAGAGAAATTGTTAGGGGGGGAGCCCGGGGAGGGGAGGGAGCAAGGTAGGGCCACAGGGTGAAGGAGACAAGGGTTGAGCGTCTTGGAGGGAAGCAAGGGTACAAAGGATGAGAAGAGGTCAGGGAGGTTAGGAGATAAAGAAAGGTCAGAGATGTGAGGGGAGGGGTTGGGTTAGGAGGGGGCGGGGATGAAGGGGGAGGTCAGGGGTTGAAGAAGAGTGAGGGGTGAACAGGGTTTAGGGAAGTAAGGAGGGGTCAGGGTAAGCAGGAATCAGGGGGGTAAGGAGGGGTCAGAGGTGAACAGGGTTGGGGTGAAGAGGAACCAGGGAGGTAAGGAGGAGTCAGGGTGAACAGAGGTCAGGGAGGTGACCAAGGGGGTCAGATTTTGGCTATGCACACACATAGGGAGGGGCAGGAAGCAGTAGCATCATGGAAATGCTAAGAGCTCAGAGGTGACAAACACCAGGGACTTCCAAGGGTCATGATAGACTTGACGAGCCGGTCAGTAGTCACTCCCGGAGCTGCACAGACACTGAGGAGTCGGTCACCCTTGTCCTCCGCAGCCCGCCAGCCTCCATGCGGTTCTTGGCCTTGTGCTGGAAGTGGACATAGCGCACTCCAGGACCGTACTGGCGGAAGACGTGGGACACCTGTGGCAGCCCAGGGTTAGGAAGAAAGTCTCAGCAGGGTGGCCACAGCCTGTTGTCCCTCCTCCCTCTGCCCAAGGTCTTGGGAAAGAACACCTGTGTGGGCAGGACCTGTCAAGGCATCTCACCTGAACCCAACGGCCAGGGGGACCTCTCCCATTGGTCCGAGGGGCCACGTGGTGCTGGGCAATGACAGTGCGGCGGTCAGCTGCTAGCAACCAGACGTGCAGCTCGTAAACACACTGGTCCAGACGGCTGTCCTCGAACCTGGAGGAGGGCAGGCTTTCACCGCTATGCAGCTATCCCATCATCTCAGCCCTCCAGATCCAACCCCATGCCCTGTCCAGCGGGGGAGTAGACATGTCACCAAAAGTGACACTACACATGTAGATGGGGAGAAACAGGCGGAAATCAAGGTGAAATGGGGTACAGGCGGGGGAAGAGCAAGATGAGGGTGTAGCAGAGGTTAGGGAGGGGGTGGGGAACACAGGGCACTGGAGCAAAGGTGGATGGCCCCTTCGTATAACTGGGGTAGGCGTCCAGGTGGAGCCGTGTGAAACTGCCCCTTAACAAGAAGAGGGGAATCTTGGAATCACAGAGGGGCACAGTCTTCAGCGGGTAAAGGAACAGCCTAGCCCACAGGGACCCCACCCAATTGACTCCTGAAAGACACAAAGGCTGTAACGAAGGGCCGGAGGAGGCAGGACCCGGCGGGACCACATGTCAAGGGGACAGGAAAGCCTGAGCTCTGGGGAGCCTGGGACAGCCAAGATCAGGCAGCCAGGCAGGGCGGGGCATCCAGGTGGGCGGGGCTCACCAGTCCATGATGGTGATGTCAGGCTGTTCGTCATCCAGCAGTTCTTCCCAAAGCTTCTTGGCCAGCAGGTTCACACATTGCTCCTTCACGGTCCAGCTGCAGAGGAACAAGAGAGGACATGGGTCTGGGCCTGAGGTCACCAAGGGAGCAGGAAGCATGGTCACGGGGCTCTAGTGACAGTAGGGGAATTTCCTCCACTCCTTCCCTCCACCTCCATTCATGAGGGCCTGAAGTCTTGGTTCCTAGGAGACCCTGGAGGACAATGTACACAAGCCCTCTGCTCCAGAAGAGAACTGACACTTAGTAGGACCCTATCTTAAAATAAGAAGAGAGGACTAGGCGTCCTCAGTAGTAGAGCCCCTGCCTAGAACCCTCCAGTGAGGGGTTGGGAGTGTGGCTCAGTGGTAGAGCCCCTGCCTAGAATCCCCCAGTGAGGGGCTGGGGGCGTGGCTCAGTGTAGAGCCTCTGCCTAGAATCCCCCAGTGAGGGGTTGGGGGCGTGGCTCAGTGGTAGAGCCTCTGCCTAGAATTCACCATACAGGAGCTGGACTGTGGTCAGTAGAGGACCCAGGTCACTCTCTCCCAGGGAAAGAGGATGAGAGTAAGTTTTAGCAAACACCTACTGTGTGTTGGCCAGACTTCTTGAGTGCCTAAGTTGCATGTTTAATAGGGATTCTGTTATGACTAAACCTCTCACCAGAGCAAGAAAGAGAGGTTCCTCTGCAGGAGAACAGCAAAGAAGGCTGGAGAAGGGAAGGTGGAATTCCACCCCACCCCCACCCCTGTGGCAACTCACCTGAGGGGCCCCTGCAGGTTCTCAGTAGTAATATACCATCCGCGGAAATTACCTGGCCGGTGGGGAGGAAAAAAACGTTGGTTGGTGAGACATCATTCCTTGAGGGGCGCCATCCTCCCTGGCAGAGCCCCCAACGCTTACCCAGGTCCGTCAGGGGCTTCCGCGTGGGACCCGTAGGGGGCGCCGGCTGGTAGATATTAATGCCTGAATCACAAAGGGGAACCGAGCCTTAGGTCAGTGCCTACCTCCTCCCGTCTTCCTTCCCCTGGAGCTAGACTGGAAGGGCAGGAACCCAAGCCGGGCTAGACCAGCCTAGCAGGGACTAAGGAGGCCGGTGGGCGGTTATGGTGAGTCTCTGGAGCTCCAGACGAAATCTAGAGAAAGGGACCGAAACACAGGCCGAGGCGAGGGAGAGAGACAGGGTGAGACTCGCACCGAGACCATATACAGAGTAAGATAGAGATACGGAAACACAGACGTGCAGTGACAGACGAAGAACACAGAGGAAGATGAAGAGACCGAGGGTCTGAGCAGCGCTCCAGGTGTCCCCAGCTGCGTCCCCACCTTCGGGGTTGGGTGAGCTGAGCAGGTTGCGGTAGAGAGGCCGCTCCAGGAACAGCAGCCTCCAGCTGAGGCTCGGGGGCAGCTCGAGCTTCCCGCTCAGGGGTCCCCATTCTTCCAGCAGCAGCTGCCTGGCTTCGACCTCGGTGGGCGCCTTGGGCTCTGGGAGCTCAGGAGTCTCCGGGGACAAGGGAGACCTTGGGGACGGCGGTGGTGGTGGGGACTGTGCAGGCGGTGGCAGCTCCTCAGAGTTCTGCGACCCCTCAGATTCCATCCTGCCGCTGAGCGCGTCTCTGTCCTGTGTCTTCTCTAACCCTAAGGTTTGGTTGACTGGGTCGCGGTTCCTAGGATCCAGGTTAACTGGGGGTGGAGGGGTGGGACAAGTCATCAGGCATTTAAGAGAGGGTGTGTTAGCGGAAGGATCCGAACCCCGGGGGCCCTCCTCCCTCACACTAGGAGCCCAGTTTGCAAAGTCCTCCTCCTCCTAACCTAGCGTTCTAGGTTCACAGCCTTCCTCCCCAGATCCAGGGGTTCAGACACCAGCTGTTGTTCTCCCTCAGATCCAGGAGTCCAGGCTCCAGTCCTCCTCCTTCAGAAGGGGTTCAGTCTCTGCCCCCTCAGCTTCTCACTCCACTGCCCCAGTTTCCCCAAGGCCAGCTGAGGACCTTCCCTGGCGCCTGGGGCTAAGTCAGGCTCTCTGATGACAGTGTAACCTCCTTAAGGCTGACGGGGCAGGACTGAAGCCAGTTAAAGCTAACCCCATATGGGCTGGGAATGGGCAGGGGTCTAGCCTCCCGCACGTCTTCACCTCTCCTGAGACACTTCTCAGGTACCCAGACATTTTTGTTATTCCAAAAAGCAAAATAGGTCAGGGTGAAGCCGGAAACAGAGATGTCAGAGGTGGGCAACCCATGGAGCCTGGAGGCGGTAGCCCCTGACTGGGCTACTCTGGGTGACTGTCCCTCCCTGCCTCCTCCCCCAGGAAGGATGGGGCACCGAGGAGGCAGGACTTTGGGGCGTGAGGAACCTGTAGGGCCAGATACCCAAGGCCACTTCCTGCCTGTGGCCCATCCCCACCCCAGTCTGGTTAGCCCTGAGTGGAGACCATCCCAGAAGGGCACCTTAAACCCATTTCACTAACAAAGAGGAGGAGCAATGAGAGAAGATGGGCAGTTTGGAAGCTGATCTGGGGCCTGAAGCCCCCCACCCAGATCTCACCCCCATCAGCCCTGGGCGAGCTACTACTGGCTTCTTGGTTATTTTGCTGTTGTTTAGGGGCTTTTGTATTTTGTTTTGTTTTGTTTCCAGACAAAGTCTACACGTAGCCCAAGCTGGCCTTGAACTTCTGATCTTCCTGCTTCTACAGCCCAAATGAGGTTGTTACACAAGCTTGTGCCACGTGCTCTGCGTGTGCTGCCGTTGCTATCCCATACCCCCAGGCTAGACCCGCGCACACTTCCACACCCCCTGTCCTTCAGACTCCTGGAGTGGCGCTCACCTCAGTTCACACTCCAGTTATGATGCCTGCCTTGCTCTCATTGTTTCCAGCCCGGAAACGGGGTAAGCCATCATGTCTCCTCATCCACCTTAGAAAGAGTCCACCCTGTCGTTCCGCCCATTTTGCCAGTGAAGAAACAGAGACACAGAAAGGTCTAGTGAGTCACTCGAGGTTGCACAGCAGGGACATGGCAAGTTGGACAGACGCCCAGGAAGTCTCAGGTGTGCTCAACAGTGATCAGATTTGAATCAAGAAACACAGCTCACGGTGACGAGGACTTCAGCCGATGGTAGCTGTTGATATTATAGTTATTAGAGTTCTTGACTTAGACCCATGCGCGAGCACCAGCGAGAGCCGTGATAAAGCGCGGGCACAGCTCAGGGAGCTGAGGCAGGAGGCTGTTGGCTGTTGGCTGTTGACGTGCACACTGAAGGGCTGGGAAGTCACCAGCCCCTAGGAGGGCTGAGGTGACAAATATACCTTCCAGGTGCCACACCTCAGCGGATGAGCCCATGGTACACCCAAGACTGCATGCACTCCTGGGGCCACCCCGGCCCACGCTCCTCGTCCCAGCCACACTCCTGCCCGCCTACCTCAGGCCTGTCATGGTGGGTGGGAGGGAAGCCTGATAAGTGGGCCCAGAATCCAGGGCAAGGCGTGGCTGCAGCCTGCAGGAACCTGGAGGAAGAAGCCCAGGACTACAGAGGCTTTCTGTTGTTTTAAAAATGTATTTATTCTTCCCTAATTCATACATACATAAACAGAAATGATTTTAAAATGTGCTTTGATTATATTATCCCCCATAATCCTTACCCACCCCTCCCTCTGGCCGAAACTAATATGCCCCATCCTACTTGAAGTATTTTGTTTGTTTTCTTTGAGAATATATTCTTAAGGAGTTCAGGCTGTCCTCCAACGCCCAGCTATGGCGCTGGGCTGTCAGATGGCCTGTGGAATGTGCTGGATTGTTTCTTTGTGTTGGGCTCTGTGAATATTCACCCAGACTCTGCCCCAGCCACACCCCAGCCCCTCACTGGGAGATTCTAGGCAGGTCCTCTACTGTGGAGCTATCTTAGGCTTTTTCTTTCCTTCTTGTCTGTGGCTCCATGCTCAGTGGTCCCCAAACCCTGGAGTATATCTGATTCACAGGGGAACTTCCTGTCCCATCACAGGAATCTGGCTGGGCCCCAGAGCCTCAGGGTTTGCCTGATTATGGGGACTCAGGGTGTGTAGCTTTTGCTCTATCAGAGAAAGTGGGTCCCAGTGCTAAGTCTCCAGCTTCTGCTCTGGCCACAGGAAGGTCAGGAATGTCTCCAGTGTGGTGTTTAGCTAAGAGCACTTAGAGCACATGCTCACGCAGAAGCGCCCATGCAGAGGCTCACACGCTGGTCGTGGCAGCCCCGCACTGGAACAGCTTGTGCGCACACACCTGGATTAACACCCGGGGATGTAGCTGGAGTCTGGGTGCTCACCAGGGACCGTGTTAACACATGGGCATGGTCTCCAACGTGGCACTGTCAGAAGGTGATTAGACCTTTTAGAGGTGGGGACCAGGAGGGCATCTTCTGGTCCAGAAGGTGCCCTTCAGAGGACAAGGGACTCCTAGCCCTCTCCATTTTGTTCCTTCACTTCCTGACCACCATGTAATGGTGGCTTGGCTCCACTGTGAGTCCTCACAGTGACCAGAAGCAACGAGGTCAGAGGTGATATAAGACCTCTGAGGCTGTGAACCAAATTAAGCCTTTTCTTTTTTACTAGTTTAGCCAGACAGAGATGACGTACATCTTTAACCCCAGCAAAGGCAAAGGCAGGCGATCTCTGTGAGTTCAAGGCCAACCTGGTCTACGGAGTGAGTTCTAGGACAGTTCTGTTATATAGAAAAACCCTGTCTCAAGAAACAAACAAGAAGTATTATGTACAGTGTCCTTACTACACTGGTTGACTTAGGACACACTGTGCAGACCAGGTTGGCTTTAAACTCAGACAGAGATCTGCTCTCTTATTTATTTTATGGGTATATGTTTGTCTGCATGCATGTCTGTTTACTACATGCATGCCTGGTGCCCTCAGAGGTCAGAAGAGGACATCAGAAACCCAGGAACTGGAGCTACAGATGGTTGTGAACTCCCCTGTATGTAGCTGGGTTTTTGTTGTTGTTGTCGTCGTCTGTTTTTTTAATATTTGGGGGCTCACCACCCAGCTCCCAAATAAATACATTCTTTCTTATGAATGTCTAGCCTTAGCTTTGCTTGTTTCTAGCCAGATTTTCTTAAATTATACCATCTACCTTTTGCCTCTGGGCTTTTACCTTTCTCTGTTCTATGTCTTTCTTTACTTCTTATTCCATGACTGGTTGTGTGGGGGTGGCTGGCCCCTGGCATCCTTCTCTCCTCTTCCTGTTTATTCTCTCTGCCCACCAGCCCCACCTATTCCTTTCTCCTACCTAGCTAGTGGATGTTCAGTTCTTTATTAGAACAATGAGGTGTTTCAGGCAGGCAAAGTAACACAGCTTTAGAGTTAAACAAACACAACATGAAAGAATGCAACATATCTCTGCATCATTAAACAAATATTCTGCAGCATAAAGGAATGTAATGCATCTTCAAGCAATATTGAAGAACTAATACTGAACACTGCAGGTTCTGGGAATCAAACCCCAGTCCTCTGGAAAAGCAACAACTGCTCTCAAGTGCTGATGTACCACCCAGCTCCATCTCGTTTTTTAAAGTTGAGGGTCTCAGGAATTTTGTTATAGCAGCAGAGAGCTCATCTTACTGCTACACCGATACACCGGGATTCTCTCTACTCAGCAGATAAAAGGAACGAACTATCCAAACACATGAGAATGTGGATGCGTGGACAAGTCTAAAAGTCCCTACTAATAAAAGACAGGCAAAACAATAGTACCTATAGCATGATTTCATTTATATAAACAATGGCACCTATGGCATGATTTCATTTATATAAATCCTGGAAAAGCCAAGATTAACTAGCATCACAGAAATCATGCTGGCGGCCACTGGAGGCTAAAGGAATTACAGCCAAGCGGCATGAGTTTCATGGGCAGTGGGGTACAAGGTCTAACTTTGTAGCCCAGGCTGTCCTGGAACTAGATGTGTAGACCAGGTTAGCCTGTAACTCACAGAGATCCACTTGCTTCTGTCTCTGTGTGTTGGGATTAAAGGCGTGTGTCACCACAGCTGGCCAGGGAAATTCTGTCTTAACTCTGGTTATCACATGGGCATATGTATTTGTCAAAAAACATATNTGTGTAACAGTCCTGGCTGTTCTGGAATTCACTTTGTAGACCAGGCTGGTCTCGAACTCACTGAGATCTGCCTGCCTCTGCTTCCAAGAGCTGGTATCAAAGGCTTGTGCCACCATTGCCCGGCCACATCTGGGATGTTTTTAAAATGAGTGTATTTATCAAGTGTTAATTATATCTTGATCGGAAACAAAACAATCGAGAATCCAGTCATTTTCTCTACACTCTAATTAAAGGGATGTAGAAAATAACTACAGCAGTGGGCCTCAAGGGCACTCACGTGACAGAAAAAAAAAAAGCATTTGTCCAAGGAGGCTTATGTTAGCTTATAACCAAGAGGACTGGACTTGTAGGGTGCTGACTTGGCACACTCCTGAGAGTGAAGAAACGGAACATGGTGGAGAATGCCCCAGAAGGTAGAGGCAGGATTGCAGGTAGGGAGTTCGCAAACAGCGCTGGGATACATGAGACCCCAAGAAAGAAAGAAAAAAAGAACACAGAAAATTTATCATAAGTACCGTGAATCTAGTCCAGTTCATCACAGAAAAGGTTATTTTGGCTCACAGTCGTGAAGGCATCAGAAGTCACCACTGGCCTTGTTGGCTTGGGCCTGATTGACGCTGTGTGGGGAGCATGGGTAATACAAGATCTTCGCCCATGGCTGGGAACCAAAGGAGGAACAAGATCAGGCCAGAGACCAGAAGATCTTTTGCTAGGCACAACCTTGTGTTTGTTTGTTTGTTTGTTTGTTTGTTTGTTTATTTATTTATTTATTTATTTATTTATTTATTTATTTATTTATTATGTATACAGTGTTCGGCACCAGATCTCACTATAGATGGCTGTAAGCCACCATGTGGGTGCTGGGAATTGAACTCAGGACCTCTGGAAGAACAGTCAGTGCTCTTAACCATCTCTGCAGTGAGGCACGACCTTGTAGAGGTTACACATCCTCCCAGTATGGCTGCTCCAGGGCCCCAAACTGCTCACTGGGGGATTCTAGGCAGGGCCTCTACCACTGAGCCACACCCCAGCCCCTCACTGGGGGATTCTAGGCAGGGGCTCTACCACTGAGCCACACCCCAGCCCCTCACTGGGGGATTCTAGGCAGGGGCTCTACCACTGAGCCACACCCCAGCCCCTCACTGGGGATTCTAGTTGTGTCTTCTGCTGCTATCCTCCAAGGTCTTTTTCACTTTATTTTGAGACAGAGTCGGATCTGGTGGCTCAGACTGGAATCCTAGTTCATCAGTGCATCAGGCTGAACAGCTGACTACTAACAAGCCCCCAGGGTAGCACCACTGCCGTGGTCTCGGATTCCTCACGTGGTAGACCACTGTACTCCAAGCTCTGAGTTCCATTCCCATCACCACGAGAACAAAACCAAGATCACTGTTCGGAAGCAGTAGGCTGCCTGGGCCTTTGTCCTACTGGAGTTGGCTTAGCTTCACCCTAACTACTCATTGTGGCCGTCTACACGGTGCCCCTCCTTCCGGATAGCGCTCAGGCCATCCACACGGTGCCCCCCTGTTCTGACTAGTGCTCAGGCCTCCACTTTCACCCCACTTTATGGTCTTTGCACATGCTCCTCCTCCTGTTTGCAAGGCTTTATTGATGTTTCGGTGCCTGTCTTCAGTTTGTCCCTTCCTCAGTCTGGAGACGCTGTTCTTAATCTCTCCTAGCAGTGTGGTGCCTGTGGACCCAGGCACAGCCCCATTGCTGCTGGGGCCCCTAGGCCAGGCCTGCTGTACCCACTCCACCCTTCAGTATTACACTTCCTGGCTTCCTGCCCTCTCTGCGATCTGTCTGAATGTGTAGCTCTCTGGGTCACCGTCTGGCTCACCTTGCTAGAATGTTGCCTTGCCAGGGCAGGGCCTCCACAGGTTCTGTTTACTGTTTGTCTCAGTCTTGGGCTATGACCATGCCTGCTGAGCAGGAAAGAAGTGGAGGCCAGACACTGCTTTGGAGAGGAACCATGTCCAGACATCCTGCATCCAAATCTTTACTCTGTGGCTAAATCAATATGTGTCCCATGAACACAGGACTTGTGCCTGCTGGGGGGTGACATGCAGGGCTGGAAAGGGACATAAGTCAGAGATGCTGGAGTGGGAAGGGGCAGCCAGGCTGGTTGGGAAGAAAAGCAGATTGGGTTAAATGCTGTTTGATGAGGTAGATGGATGTGATCCAGCTCTGCTCTGCAGGGGACAATATATGCATGCATCCAACCCTTCACTAATAG